GAAGATAATCCATGTCAAAGGGGTTGATAACATTTGTGTTGATATACTTTCACGTGCTATGTAATTTTATGATCATAAGGTTATTTGTATTGATTGTGTTGTATACTGTCATGATTGTTGAAGTTGTATAATTCTTCGAATAATGTATTATATTTAATGTATTGTCGTCAATGTATATATGTATATATATATATATAATATCTTAGTTATAAATTGTCCAATGCCAATTTTTAATTCTCTAAGGAGGAAGTTGTGACGGATTTACTATTATATATTAATTTTAATATCGATGTTTGTTTAAATTAAATTATATTTACACATGTACATAACTCATACTGTTAAATCTGTATTGCGAAACTCCCGCCTATTCTGTAAAGTTATAAAAGATTCTCGAGTGTAAGAATCAACAATATATGTGTGTATCTAAACGCTACTGTTAGTGTCAGTATTGTTACATAAAACTGAAATTTCGAGAAACTCTCCACACGCCTATAAATATAACCAACGCGCCAAAAAAAGAGTATTTATTATTTGTTTGCTATAGTTGGTGTGCTTAAACTTCGGAAGCTATAACTGTGATTGTTATAACGCTTATTAATTGGGACATTTGAGATATTTGACCAGGAACATTTATAAATTTCTAACATTACAAACCATTTAACTTTAGTGAATTCACATGGGATATTAGTACTTTTACAAAAAGCGTGATCAGTGAAGACCGCAGAGCTAGCTAGCTCCCTATTAAGTGACTTGTAGCTACATCAACTCGAAATTAACTCGCTCATCATTAACCCTCGATAAGACGTCAAGGAAGTTCCACACTAGAAAGAAGACTATATTCCTTGTAAGTTTGTAAAACCTTTGTATATAAATCATTGTTTGTAATAACTGTTATTGTAAAACGTAATTTTGTTTATCTATTAAAACATATTTGCATTAAACAAGAAAACTGCGTGTAATAATCTTGTTGACAAATATCATAAACTGGAGACATAGCGGCATTTATCTAACTACTAAATTTAAATTATCATTTAACTCGGTTTCAAACCATTCTAAACTGTAATACGTAACAGCTTGCTTACAAGTTTGCCGCAATCATAACTTCTCTTCGAAAACTCCATTTATTTTTACAAGGTGATTCATATGTTCACAGTACAAACAAAGTCAAAAACTAAAACTTTTGCTTTACAATACAGTATTTCTTCTATAGTACACATGTTGCTACAGTTGCAGTAGAAAATTATCGTTTCTTTTGACAGTTGTGTATGCATTTGACAGAGAGGATTTGTTAATCGTGAGAAGAAAACACCTGTTGAACGAGAAATTAATTTCTACTAAAAGGTGACGCGAGTGATCTTTGTATTTGATAAAAACAACCGTGATTAATATAATACGCCCAGATCTTCCATTTTTGAAGTAAATACGAAAGCCTAAGATATAAATTATTTTCTGGAAATATATATATATATATCATAATATAAGACGGCAATATTTCTATAAGCTTTAGACGTTGTCTAACTAGAAATGAATAACATACACAAATGCAACTATAACGTTATAAAATTTAGGAATAAGAAGAACTGTTAAACCCGCGACTCAAAAAAAAAAAAAGAAAAAGTAAAAAAAAAAAGATTTTTTTTAGTCAACAGTTTTGATTAAGATATTTTTATGGTTTGTAATGAACAACGATTCCTAATTTTGAGCTAGTACAATTTTAATCTTGAATTTGACGTTACTGTAGATATTTTAAAACTTTTTAATGATGCTGTGAAAGAGCAGAGATAAATGCTAAATGGTTGAGGATGTCGTGATTACTTTCATATTAAATTATAAAATAATTAATACTTGAAACTGTCGGTGTTTGAAACTCCTTAACTATGGAACTGAGGAAAACAAAGACAATTGTACCCTTTACATATATTTCATTATTACTCTCACGGTTTTTCAGGTGCCAGTCTGTACCTGACGATGCCCTTACAGTTATCTCTATTTTCCTCAGTTCAGTATAAAATTAAACAAATATTTTGATGATATACTAGGAATGGCTTGGATTTAAAAAAATAAAAGAAATATGTCTAAATCTTAGAATACCTAGTAATTTACTCATTATTCCTGTGGCTGGTGTTTTCTTTTATTGTGAACTGACAAGGAGCGAGTAAACTGTAGTTTAACGACTGTAAGAAGTCACACCATGAGCAATAAGCTGTGGAATTAACAACCATTAATAAAATAAGCAAAGTGGTCTATCAGCTGAAGAAGAAAACTCGTCTCTTACGTGTAGAGAATCATATCGGTTCTTAGCAAATTAACCTATACCATAACATTATTAAAATACTCCCAAGCGCTTTTGATCAGTTTGAAATATTCCACTTCCCATGTTTGTTACGATTTGTTTTCCAACAATCATGGCCAGCGACTGTCAACTAGTCGAGGTGTTTAAATGTAAGGGTTAAAGAGTTGATTTTTTAAGATTAGCATTATTTAACTAACTAACGCTGATGAAGAGAGCGACTATAAATCAAACTTTCTAATCTTACTTGTTACGGGACGAGTGTGGCCTACTGTTAAGAACACCTAGACTGTTGATAATGGTTCGGATTCGTTGCCGTAAAAACGCGCTTCAAACTTTGGGACCGTGAGTGCACTATAAAAAAGGACAGTCAAATTCAACTACTCGATCAGGGAAGAGTAGCCCAAGAGCTGGCGGTTGGTGATCTTAACTAACTGCTTTCCCTCTGATCTAGTGCTTCTCAAACGTTTTTGTTCGCGGACCACCTGATTTGTTTTGATCTTGGCGGAACATGGTGTGATTTATTAACTATGTTGCTTCGGAAGAGTTTCATGTTCCAAGCACACCTCTTCTCCCTGATGGCATTTAATAATTAATCCAATTTAAGAAGATGGCGGTTTCCTAGCGTCCATTTCAACAGTACGATCGTACATAAATCCATATGTATGTATGTATGACCACCATTTTTTCGGACGGAATAACGCGAATACCCACTTTATTTTCCAGCTGCTCGAGGTATGCGACGGTTGAACTGATATCTCGTGGAAGCATCTTGTGTACATGAGGCTTATGTTGCTTTTCAAGACGAATTATGTTGTGTATTGTTGTCTGGGTACGTGGACGGCTCTTGCCTCACTTAACTTTTGTGTTCGTGGATCCTTATCTGTTACAAGACACTGCATTTTACTTACCATAACTGGAGTACGACTTGTTGCATGTGTCTTTTTGGGTGGTAATGGGTTTTCGAGTTAATCCACATCCTTAGTTTTCCAATGTCGTCAAGTACAAGGGATATCCCCGTCTTGGAAATTCTAAATCCCCAATATGAAGACATCTTTATGACATGCGTCTATAAATATTTTGCGTTGGAAAAGGCTCTTACGTATCATTTCCAAAAGGATCAATGTTTGGTGACATCACACCATTTCCGAAATGCCAAACAATGTCTAAATGTAGTTCTGATATATGCTCTTCCATTGCGATTTTATATTGGCTGTGATTGTCATGCGACCCGATGATTTGTATTTTCAAAATCAGTTTAATATAACATACTCAATCCCCCCCTCTCTCTCTATATGTATATATCATTAAAGCTTATATTTGTTGATCAAACTGATATTAATTAAACTAACTGAAAAAGTTTGTTTTTAAAGTTAAAGCGAATTTAATTTTCGTTTTTGGTTTTTCATTTTAAAACCATAGTACAAGATGCTGAATGAAGTTTGTTTGTTTGTTTGTTTTGAATTTCGCGCAAAGCTACACGAGGGCTATTTGCGCTAGCCGTCCCTAATTTAGCAGTGTAAGACTAGAGGGAAGGCAGCTAGTCATCACCACCCACCGCCAACTCTTGGGCTAAATATATTTAAATAGGCATGCATAGTTTAGTTCAATTGAATGTGTTATTTATAACAATAGTAGTTTTTTCTTTTAAAAACATAACTATTTACAATGCTCCCTAAATAATAAAAAAATAAATTATAGTAATGGATGAACGCATGGCTTGTGTATATCGTATATATATATATATATATTATTCACACCTTCGGTTCATTATAGGACGCAAGCAGATTTTGACATCAAATTTTGGGGTAAAAAAGTGCGTCTTATACATCGAAAAATACGGTATGTTAATAAGCGTGTCTTACCTGTACTGGTTAATGTACCTTACCTCGTGTTACTGAACTTACTTAACCGTACGTGACTTATATTAGTTAACGTATTCAACATGTGCCTTTCCTCTCTAGAAGAGTTAGCTTGAGCGGTACGAATCCAGGGGACATGTGGGTTCAGTCATTGAAGGGACAACACAGCTAATCTGGGTTGTGTATTAATTGCTTCGTGTATAAGTGTGGAAGCCAGATAGTCTTATTAGGAGTTGCTAGGGGGTTAACCCTTTAACTCAGAGAGTACAGTACATATACACTTGGGTGATGGAGATACGAGGTTCGATCCCGATAGAGATAGAAACTTTATTGCTACATTAGATAATAGTTTCTTACTTAGAGTTTGTTTTTTGAATTTCGCGCAGACCTACTCTAGGGCTATCTGCTCTAGCTGTCCCTAATTTTGAAATTATAGACTAGAGGGAAAACAATTAGTTAACACCACCCACCGTCAACGCTTGGGATACTCTTTTACGGAATAGTAGTGGGATTGACCGTCCCATTATAACGCCTCCACAGCTGAAAGAGCGAGTATATTCGATGACGGGATTGAAACCTGCGACCTGAATATTACGAGTCGAGTGCCTTAATCATCAGACCATGCCAGGCCTTACTTGGAGTTGCTAAAGATTAAACTATTTAATTCAGATGGTAGAGCACACACTCGCACTTGGATTCTATAGGTACGGGTTTCGATCCCGCGTGAGATAGGAATTGGATTGTCACATAAGTATATGTTTAAATAAGTGAAATTAACCTAGCTTAAACATTGCGCTCAAGGGCTCGTACTTTTTAGGAATCAAAGTGGCCAAACACAAAGGCTTTACCTGTGAGTGCAACGTAAGGTTGTACCTGTGGACCATTTCTTCGCCAATTGTCATGGGAATAAATTCATTGAATGTGATGTGCTGAACAGACGCTGCCATGATGTGTCGAACCTCGTGGTAAATTCGTTCGTCATCCCAATGTGGGTTTAATCGACCAAGTTCTATAGCAAGTCGGTTATGGTCACGAACGTAGAGTGTGTGGAGGACAGTGAGGTGGATTTGTTCGTTAACTCGTTCATCACCTAACAACATACAAAGATAGCATGGAAAAATTCACTGGAGACATATATTAAAAGACAAAGTATTAAAACCAAAAACTTGTTAAATCTCAAGTCTACAGTAAGTTGGCGGGCTCAATGCCAAATATTCGAAAAACAAAAACTCAGATCAAATATCAAGAGAATAAACAGAGAATATTTGAATGTTGTTGGCAGGAAGAGAATATATAAAAGAATCAGAATTAAATTTTTGTCTGAGTAGTAACACCATCTATATTATTAGATTGATTTCTTATTAACTAATTAAACGGAGTAGAAATCTTTTCCTGTAGTTGCATTTTAATTCATCAGGTAGAATCCTCTGCTGATTAACAAGTAAAGTACTGTATATAATAATAAATAAATTCTCTATTGACTACTCAGTAAAAGTTTATATTGCCTAGCTTTGAATGGCTGTCTTAAAATTTCAATGCGACACGAATGACACAGACATAAGCACACAATGAACACCTGCTTTAACTGAAAGTTTTTTATTTGTTTTACAATAACAATGAACTGTTTTCTGTACTACATCCTGTGTGTGTGTGTATCCTTTCTGTGCTACATCTTCTGTGTGTATGTATCCTTTCTGTGCTACATCCTGTGTGTGTATGTATCCTTTCTGTGCTACATCCTGTGTGTGTGTGTATGTATCCTTTCTGTGCTATATCCTGTGTGTGTATGTATCCTTTCTGTGCTACATCCTGTGTGTGTATGTATCCTTTCTGTGCTACATCCTGTGTGTGTATGTATCCTTTCTGTGCTACATCCTGTGTGTGTATGTATCCTTTCTGTGCTACATCCTCTGTGTGTATGTATCCTTTCTGTGCTACATCCTCTGTGTGTATGTATCCTTTCTGTGCTACATCCTCTGTGTGTATGTATCCTTTCTGTGCTACATCCTGTCTGTGTATGTATCCGTTAAGACTTCTTGTTTGTTGCTTTAAATGACTTTTTTTTTCTGCATTAATATTTCTAATCCATCTTGAAAACACTTTAAATTACGAAAAGTTATTTGTTTTGTTCAAGTGAAAAGCTGAACAATGGCTTATCTACTCCGAATTCACCGGTAGGGAAACGATTGTGCAAATAAAATTTTATCATATGTTACTACGAATACTATTTTCCAGCTTAGGGAAACAAATTAATGCAACAAGTTTACATTAAGTGAAGTAATTCCTTATTTCTGGATCTTCCATGGCTCGGTATGACCATTTAAATTAGTGTTAAAACTCTTTCACAAAATTAACAGAGTTTAATAACTTTTTAAACTTTAATATACTCATCAGTTTTGGTGAAAAAATAAAACAATTCTTATATGGGAACAAAATATCTGAATTTCTCATCTCATCTCATAGCTGTTTCTACAGTGTAACTGTAAACAGTGATGATGCTCCGCCATCTTGTTCAGGCATAGCTGTTTATATAGTAGAACTGTAAACAGTGATGATGCTCCGCCATCTTGCTCAGGCATAGCTGTTTATATAGTCGAATTGTAAACAGTGATGATGCTCCGCCATCTTGTTTAGGCATAGCTGTTTATATAGTAGAACTGTAAACAGTGATGATGCTCCGCCATTTTGTTCAGGCATAGCTATTTATATAGTAGAACTGCTGAACAGAGGGAGCTGCATCCGATCAAATATGTTCACTGTCACTCTTATAATGCTCCAAAAATGAAATTGCGGAACATGTTTTGTAGTATATCGCAGCTCGAACCTTGGTCCTTTATATCCGTTGTCCGGCAAAATAACAAATAGGCCATGCTCGGCCTATACAAGGTCGAATTCCTGTGGCAACCACTTTTGAAGTGAATACGGAGAAGGTGAAACAGATATTCAAACAAGTAGAATAGCCGTATTTGGGAGTTAGAATCTCTTGGGTTTTGCTAAATCGCAACTTGCTTGGAAGAATAACAAGTTTGGTTTGGTGATGTATAAGAAAACCTTAACATGTTAATGTAAGCATTGCAACTTGTTTCTCCAGATAACATCTTGTGGTGTGTAAGCAAATTTTAACATGTTACTTAACGTATTGCGTTTTATTCCAATGCAGCTTACCCCACAGAATGACGCGTTTTGATCTGGTGATGTGTGTGTAAAAAAATCTTAATCCGATAATTAAATCGTTGCGATTTATTATGACTAGGTGGCTCAGAAGAATGTCTGAGGACTCAATACCCGCAGTGGACACAGCACAGATAGACCATTGTGTAGCTTTGCACTTAACAACAAATAAATACACAAAATACCCTACCGGCAAGGAAGCAAAACAAGTGGCGTGGTCTGGATATACAGTCTCGTTCTGGGTTGTCTGACATAGGGGGCAGTAGTGGTTTCAAACCATACTCACTAAAGCGGTCCCACACACGCATCAAGCCTGAAACAAGAATTCATAAATATCAAGATTTCCAGTTAGAGAAATTATTCTTTCTAGATTAGAGGCCTAGAGGAAATAACTGCTAGAGTGAGAGGTAAAGACAGAAAAGAAATATGTGACTTTATAACACCAGCCTCAAGTAAAAGGCATTCTTTCATAAAAAAACATGTAATTATTCACTCATTACGTTATCTATAAAAAATAACTAATGATTATAAATAGAAAAAATATCCCCTTTAGACAAGGGATGTAAATAAAAAAGTTTTTCATATTCGTCTAGTTATTACATATAATTACAAAAATATTTAGTAAATTTAAAATATAAAAAATTAAATAACTCCTTTTCTCTTTTTATTAACAATAGATGGCGCTTCAGACCTGTTCTCCTGTGAGGAATATAAAATTAATACAGTGAGCATACAAGTCTTCTAACTCAAAATTTCCTATAGAATGTTTCTAAAATAAAATATCTTAAAAATCTCACGTGGCAAGAAAATAGTAGTTTAGAAGAGAAGTCTAGACATTGGTAGAGCAGCAATAATCTTTTAAAATTTACAAGGTAAGATCTAGAAAACATTATAATGTATAAAAACATTGAGAACCATGTTTATAATTTAAAAAGTTGTTTCGTGTTTGTAAATTGACCTCACCTCCCCTCCAAAGGCGAAGTTTGTGACCCAATTCTTCTGTCGAGCCATACATAAAGTTGGCGTCAAGGGGTGACGTGTCCAAGTTGATGTGGACTCTTGGACCTTCCAAAACAAAAACATCTTTTATTTCGAATGATATACTCGTATCAAGAAAAAAAAGCTTATTTATAGTGTTATTGATATTAAAACATCCGTGTGCAAAATGTACAACTGGTGTTAAATATTCGAAAATAATGTATACTTTATACGTGTACTAAAATATGACTGATAAAATATTTAACTTTTTCACCACAAGAGTTCTAACACAAACGATTTCTTACTCGTACAATAACAATAACCAGCATTGGAAGAGCTCTTAGTACATCTAATATTGTTAAAGACTTGTTTAAATCTTACGATGGAAACCCCTTCAACCAGCATTGTAAAAGCTTTGTGCCTACAGTATGATTAAAGATTTGTTTAAATCTTACCATAGAAACCTCTTCAACCAGCATTGTAAAAGCTTTGTGCCTCCAGTATTGTTAAAGATTTGTTTAAATCTTACCATAGAAACCTCTTCAACCAGCATTGTAAAAGCTTTGTGCCTCCAGTATTGTTAAAGATTTGTTTAA